AGTGGGGATTGTTTTTGGGGTTGTTTTGTTGGTTTTTTTCAGCCTCGGACTGGTTGGGGAAAGCTGGAGCTTTATTCTGGGCCAGACTGTACAGCCCAGTGACGGTGGTCAGCTGTGGCCACTCGGATGCCCCACTCGCTCCGTGGGGCCGTGGATTTCCCGAGGGATTTGCTCTCCAAGGGATTCGCACCCACACGCACTCAGGCTATAGCGGCCCGACCCTGCGGAGTGCTGGGGGGTTGGAAGCCGGGCACCCGGAGAGCTTGCCCGCTGCCCGCCCATGCTCTGCAGGCGGTAGCCCCGGTGTCTCTAGACCCGACAGTATCACTGTGCTTTGCTCGTCACGCACACAACCTGTAATTAACACTCTCACACGCTTGTGTCTAAATTAGTAGCGAGGACCCATTGCCAAACGTTGGAAGTTCAGGCCAATAAAATGTAGCTTTAAAAAAAAAAAAACACAAAACCCTTTGAATGTGTTATAGAGGAAAAGGGAAATGTGCCCTGAGCACTTACGTTTTATTTCGATTTGCATTTTATGGGATATTATTTATGGGCATGTGAAAGCTAACGAAGGAGCGCAGTCTGATGGCTGGAGATTGTCATCTGCTCTCAGGAAGGCAGCGAGCAGCAATCTGGGTTTTCGGGGGGGATTTAGAGATTTTCTCTCAGTGTACGGCAAAACAGTCCAGCTACTTGGGCTGCAGTGGCAGGGCTGCTTGTGGGTAAGGAGGAGGTATTCAGAAAATACTAATTTTTTTTCTCCAGTCCAAGTTCAGTTGGGATTTTTGTCCTGTGGTCCTACCTGTGAGGCTGCTGGATTGCTAAAGCTGTGGGCTCTGGTCAAGCTGCTGCTTGCAGAGCTGGTCTCCAAGCCTGACAGCAGCGTTGATGCCGCTGTTGCAGAAGCATGGCTTTGGGATGGGGCAGAGCGTCCTGCTGGCGGGCTGAGGTGGGAAATCAGGTTGGCTTGGTCAGTTGTGAGCATTTTTTGCAGTGTTGTGTTTTTTCCAGCCAGCCCAAGCACGTTACCCCTCCACATGGCATGC